TTGTAGCTTAGTCTGTTAAATTGTTTCGTAATCAATTACGGTGATATTATGCAATGAATGTTGGCGTTTGTCGGTGTAAATCCTGCGGTACAGGGCAAATATTGTGTGCCAGCTTTTTTTGGAATAGTTCTAAAATGAGATTTTATTGTTAAGCTCAATTTTCTAAGCCTCACTAGCATTCGAATTATTGTGCATTTTTGATTTAGCCTTCAGGTACGTCAAATTATTGGATCCGTCTTTAGCAAGCTTTTTTTCGAAATAAATACTCTTGCAAAATCATATCACAAAAGATGTTATTAATTTGATTTTCTTCTGTTTTAATCTCGCATTTCACAAGAACTACTTCTGTTTTTTTAGCACAGGGGATTTTAGAAATGACTCATTTTAAAGTAATTTTGACCTGTCGTCTTCACAGCTTATCTGACCTTTGCCTTCAATTTATTTCATATCTCTAACTAGAGCTACATAAACGCTAACTACATCCCAGAAGTTCAGGCTTGTTTGAGTCTCAAAGATGTGAGTAAAGCCGAGTCCTTCAATACCGGCTGGCTCTACATCGCCACTCAGGGCCCTACAAAGCAGACGAGTGGCGACTTTTGGCGTATGGTGGTGGAGCAGCATTCACCCATCATTGTGATGCTGACTGGGTGAGCATGTCACCAAAGTTGGTTAGTAGGTTGGTGATAATTCGTGGCATGCATTTAGTAAGACTGATTTTTTGGCCCAAAGGAGGGCAAGCTGGGCGCTTTTCTTGCAGACATGCCCACCCCAGATGCTACATCCGACTTGTCAGGCATTGTTACTCGATATATAAAGTGAATACCAGATAGTCACCCTAAGCGATTTTAGGAAGTGATAATTGAGTTTTCCCACAAACTAAAGGTTGGCTTTATGATTCTATTGAATTTCACTCAGCTTTTTTTCCAAAAGCATATATCATCCAGAGTGGACTGAGTCGCATCGGCAACAATGACGTGATTCGAAAGAGGGTTGTGCATACGGCCAAGGGTGCCAGAGCAGATGCGACTTTTAAGACAGGCAAAGTCTCTACCAAATCTCCTCTATTGTGGCATTGTCGATTGGACATACGGGTACATGGCATTCAAATCGGCAAAGTCACTTACCTTCAGTTCTCACTTAACCAGTTCTCACAGTTTCGAAATATACCCATAAAGAATGTGATCAGTTTTGATGACAAAAACATTTTTTCATTATTTACAATCCTAATAAAAAATGTGTTTTAGTAAGCTGACATTCTGGTTAACGAAGTGATACTTTGTCTCCTCGTAACGCACGCTCAGATTTAGAATCCCGTTGTACTTGCTGCTGACTCTCATGCGTGGTCGAATCTTTTTAGAAGGCAAGATTAAATCAGAATTGCTCTTGCCTCGTTTTCGTAAATCCATCGTGTTGCCAGGGTGACCTAGTTGGACACACCTTGTCCGAAGTCCTCTACTCTAGTAGTTATCATAATTCCCACAGTTGGACTGTGGAATTGTGAATTATGATACCCAATACAGCAGATGACTTCGGACAAGGTGTGTCCAACTAGGTTGCCCTAACAACACGACCAAGTGGCGATAACGAGGTCAGACTGTGGCCAAAATAGAGGCCACAGTATCTTGTTCTTCACATTCCAGGCTAAGTAAGGCCTACTCCTCTCATTATGGGAAAAACTCCACTTACAGGTCCTAAATCACATTTT